TTGGCCATAAACAAAGATAAGTGTATAAATTCGTAAATTGCTTCTAAGATAAAAGTTGAATAGACTTGGAGAGCAATTTACAAAGGCAACCAAATAAACCTTTTACAGAACTAAAAAGAATTGAAAAAGATATCAATTAAGACAAAACAAAACACCTTTAAGCTTTACTCAAGAGCTACTCTATGATCAATAAATTGAGCAAAGAAAGTTAGCTGAAATACATCTTTAACCGTATAGGACTATACACTGCAAGGCTCAAAAATTGATCAAACGTTGATTGCATTTCATGTCGCAAGACATGTTTAGTTGTAAAACGATCACGAACTAAAAACCAACAAAATAAGCACCAAATAAGAAACAGTAATTATATCAAACACTAAGTCCGCACTTTTCCCATTAGATTAAAAATTCAACACAATCACAACAAAATCGTTAAGTTTGACACAATCAGTAACTAATAACACATGCCGAAGCTGGTAGAATTTTAGGAGGGGTGCCATTGGAAATCAGTTTTAAGAAAACATGCCTGCAATCCTAACCCACCGATCTCCTTACGGCAAATTTTATAACCAAAGGTTTAAGAATCCCAATTTCGTTTCCCTCATCAAGCAAAAAAAAAATCAAAAGAACACAAATATTATCCTAAAAGAGGAATGAAGTACCTGTTGATGAAGAAACATAGTACCGTTGGTTTGCAATGGGAACAACCACGGTGTGTCTGCGTTTGGGAGAGGAAGGGAGCAGAAGAAAAGTGCAAAACCTGATGAAGAACAACACTCCTGGGCTGTAATTATTCAGATCCCATTTGTAATTGAAGTAGCCATTGATGCGATAACCATTAATGTGTGAAATCCATATAGCTGAAAGTGGAAAGATGGAGGATAGCTTCAACCAAAAGAGAGGGAGACGAAGGGGTGCCAGTGTGCATTAGATTTTGATGTCAAAGGCACAGTTGTTGGGGCGCCAGTGTGAATTATTAGCTCTGCCTTTTAGTTGCTCTAATCAACAGTTTAGTGGAGATAGAGGAGGATGGGAGTTATTATGTTATAAATAGCATTTATAAATTATTAAGGATGTGTAGAATTGTCTTTATATATTTTCTCAAGGGTAATAAGGGAAATAAAATGTTTTTCATACTTGTAGACGTTTTAAAGTATTATAGATATAAATTAAAGTAGTATAGATATATAGTAACATTACAAATAAAAAATAGTAACATTCAACTACAAAAAAAAAAATAGTAATATTCAAAAAATAAAATAGTAACATTCAAAAATAAAAAAACAGTAATATCGAATATTATTATTTGAAAAATAATAGTAGTAACATACTCAAAAAAATAATAATAATAACATGGAACATTGAATATTATTATTATTCAAACAAAAATAATATCATTCAAAACAAAAAATAATAACATTTTAAAAAAATAAAATAGTAACATTTAAAGAGGTATAAATCTTGTGTGTGAGAGAGCAAGAGAGGGAGAGAGAGCTACCATTGATGGAATATTAAAAATGGTGGTGGGAGACAAATCCAAAGCAGTAAGTAGAAATTAGTTGGCTTTAGGAATCCATTAAATGTTGGGAGTCTTGTTATCAGAAGAATGAAGAGATGGTGTGGGCCTCTGGAGAGAAAGAGAGAGGGGTAGAGGTATTTGGGTTCGTGCCTAGTGGATTTTGTGGGTTGCCCTGGTGAGTGCCTCGGCGATGGCGGCTTTTGGATGTGGGGATACAATGTGGCGGTAGCCAAGAGTGCTATTTTATGAAATTTCAACGATAGAGACGATGAACAGTTTTGTGATAGAGATGATGAAAAATGTTATACTCATGAATTTGAATTTCAAATTATATGGAAAAAAATTTCTATATTAAGGAATAATAATTTTTTAATTAAGAAATTAATTTAATATTGCTTTTAAGAAAGGATATTTTTGAGTTTAAAAAAATTATGGACTTAACTACTTATTAGTAAGATTAAAAACGAAATTATCTCCAAATAAAATTTTTTGACGGACTAAACTCATTATAAATCCCTTAAGGAGTATTAAACCCCAATTTTCACTTATTTATTTATTTTTTTTGAATAGAAATTCAAATGCAATGTTTAGTAAAAAATATTTGAGTGAAAGTTTATCTATTTTTTTTTGGTAGCATTCACACAATTTTTTTTTTATATATTTTATCTACAATCTAGTTGTTTGGTACCATGACATATTAAGAAGTAACTAAGAAGAACTCTTTTACGATTTTTGTATTTTAGTTGAATATTGTACAGTATAAATGGGATGAAAATAGAATGAGGTGAACTTAGTCTTTATTGGGTTGGATATAGCTAGAGTGAGTTTAATAATTTTATAATTTTGAGTTTAATAAGGTGAAAAATGATATTTGTAGGGTGAAAATAGCTCCACCCAAAAAATTATCATGTTAGACATAAAAGTTTATTCTTTTCAAAAAATATTGTGACAAAATAATAAGTGGCAACAACTTTTAGTAATATAGTGCCGTGTTAAATTCACACAAAATTTTCTCCACAAAAACAAACATGAACCAAGTGATTCGAATTGAGCGGCTCGTGAACTAGCTAGGTTATTGGGGCATAAAAACAAAAGGAAAAATTATACATAAACTTGTTAAAATTTGTTATTTAATTACTTAGACCACTTAACATTCAAAAAATTACATATTAATCCTTGAAATTTGTATACGCGTAACACTTAGACCTCTATTGTTAATTTCGTTAGCATATTTATTAATAATTTACGCCTAGACCTCATGGTGTATAATATTTAAACCTCTCCAGTTTAAAATATTACATTTAGACCCTTTATTAGATACGAAACTAATAAAATCTATTAAACGGCAAAATTAACCCAATTTAATATATAAGATATTGTGTCAATTGCAGTTTGATCCCTTATTTGATTTTTTTATTTTATTCCAATAGACAGTATAATTGTATACAAGTGAATATTGTATTAAGTTCTTTAATATATTTATACTGATTACTATTTTTACCTCAAAAAATTAGAACTTTGTTTGTTTTTTATGTTAATAGATGATATAACAGAACATGCAAATGTGTTGATTAGACTTATTGCATATGTTCGTACTAGATGATGCAAAAATTGATCCAAGGCAAAAGCCCATCTAGTCCAAGTCCAAATTAACGTAGAGGTCGTCTAAATTTTAGTATCAACAATACTAATTATGCATTTTTTAAAAGAAATAATTAATTTTTAATTTTAATTTTATTTCAAAAAATGTCATAATAGAACGTAAATTTTAGTTGTAAAATTTAAAATGTTTGATATTTTATCTTTAATTAGAGTATTTTTTGTATAAGTGTAATATTTTAAACTTGACAGGTCTAAGTATTACATGTTTCAAATTTTAGGCATCTATATATAATTTATTAACAGATATTTAACGATAGGAGTCTACGTGTTACGCATGTACAAATCTCAGTGGATTTGTGTGTAATATTTTAAATATCAGAGATCTAGGTAATTAAGTGACAAAATTCAAATAATATAGATGTAATTTTCTCAAAACAAATATTACGTATAAGGATATTAGTAGACCGAAGCGGGGTGGGAGTGTAGTCTCCATCCTTGTACCCGCTTAAATAAATTTCGTTCATCTTTGGTCTATCCCGTTAACAGGTATAATTTTTATCTTTATCCCTCGTCCGTGGGTAAAATTTTAATCCCTGTCCCCGCTTCCCCCGTACCCTCCCAAACCCAAGCCCAAACTCAACATAATCCAAAATTTTAAATAAATTCAACACTTTAAAGCAAGACTAATTTTATTTTAAAGGATCGAAAAGATTTTTGGTTTGGGTATAAAGCAAGACTAATTTTATACGATACTATATATATGGTAATATTGAACATTATAGCACTGAGCTAGTATTAAGAAAAATTATACCCAATCCAATAATGTCTAATTTAGTTAAATCTCACCCTAATACTACAACAAATTCTCCATCATCTATTAACTACTTCACTTCACGCCAAGATCATCATATTGCTAACCATTCTTTGTTCTCTACTTAGCCCGCAGTAAGAAGCTTAATGTCCTCTGCTGAGCCTATTAGCTGGTCAAACTTGTTCCAGCTTTGCTTGTACCGTTGTATGTTAGGGCTCGGAAGATATATATATATATATATAACAGTGGAGGGGGTTGGGTGGGCCGGGGCGGGGCAAGACCAAGGATCAGTCAATTCTTGCTTCATTCTCGCACGGGTTTATACGAATATTTTTGTATACGTCTATCGTTTAATACGTATAATCTATCTTCGATTCAAACAGAACAAGTTTATACGAATACCTATTTTTCTCTGGTCCACTGTCATCCCTAACTACAAAGGTTATCTCCATGCCCACAAGATGAACTTGCTTAAATGGCTATGGAAAAGGATTTTTCTAGTTCCACCATTCCTGTCTATTTTAAAATTTTTATTAAATTTTAAATATCAGTTTTTTTTTATTAAATTTTAGTTTATTGATATGGTTAATAATTGAGTTAAATCTGTCGAGATAGTTTTTTTAAATAAATTTTAAATTTTGTTTAAGTTCGATTCGTTTAAAAAATAAATTGAGTCTAAAATGATTCAAACTTGAGTCAAACCTAAATAACTCAACTAATTTATATATTAAGAAGCTGAGTTTTCAAGTTCGAGCCTAAAAAATAAATTGAGTCTAAAACGGGTCAAACTCTCTTAAACTCAATGACTGAGCCCCATAGTTTGAATTAAGTTAAGGGATGTCTTTAATGGGATAATCTCTAAATTACTAAATGTCACATCAAACCACTCCGAAGAGTTAATCATGTCAACATTTTAATTGCAGAGAGTATTTCGAAATTTGGAATCTTCTTTTATCCCGTGCGTGGTCGCCCATAGTTCTTACGCTGCACTCTCTCTCTCCCTCTCGCGCGCCCTCTCTCTCTCTCCCTCTCACACACAAAAAGGAAGGTAAAGCGTCAGTGCTAGAGAACCCTCTCTCTCTCTCTCTCTCTCTCGTACAGAATCAATCGAATTGCAGCGAAAATGGTGGACTTCGCTCGGGTGCAGAAGGAGCTCCAAGAGTGTAACAGGGACATAGAAGTGTCAGGCATTAGTGTAAACCCTAAAAGCGACAATCTCACTCAGTTGATTGGAACAATCCCTGGCCCTCTTGGCACTCCTTATGAAGGCGGCACTTTTACAATCGATATCGTCTTGCCCGGTATATGCACATACACTTATTTTTATATACATATTACATACTCATTTTTCTGAAAATTTTCAAGATAATTATCTTCCCAGTGTTTGAATTCTGGATGAATTTGTTCTTGTTCTCATTATCTTTGTTCGGGCGCAAGGTATTGACTTCACTGTGGGTTTAGGGTTTTGAATGATTTTAGAATTGGTTAATTGTAGATACAGTATTTGAGGTAATGCGCGTCGTGTAAGAGTTATATCATTATTTACTTGGTGCCGTGTTTCGATTTTCTGGTGTAAATGTGTGTGTGTGTTTGTGTTCTTATTTAAATGACGTTTGAATTTGTCCAATTTAGCTATTAAGACCCCCCCCCCCCCCCCCCCCCCAAACAAGCTGTGCGCAAGCTGTTACTGGTTTTTTGGTTTCATGGGAAGCTGATTGCTTAGAGTATGCATTTAGATGACAGAAATGGTTAAGATTTTTATAGAGAAGCTGAGGCAATAGTATTGTATTAACCGGAAATTGGGTGGTTGATTGAGGCCCTTCGACTCTGTTTTAAAAACATAAAAATACACTTCAAAAGATAAAGAAATGCTAAATGTAGTGGTACTATGGTGGTTGGAAAGAGAACCTAATGCCTTGTGACTCATATGTCATATATACGTCATAAATGGGACATTTAAGTTGTTTTTTCTCGAGTTGGGATGAAGAAAAAAAACACCAAAAAGACTGATCAAGTTACATTGTTGTTGCTGGCATTGTTTTTGCAGATGGGTACCCTTTTGAGCCTCCCAGAATGCAATTTGCTACGAAAGTTTGGTATGAGAAAATATTTTTGCCTCTACTTTTTCTGATGACGAGTTGTTTTCCCTAGCTTTGGCTTGCATTGTCTTACTATTTTTTTCGTAATCATGTTGCACATATTAGTCTCCTTTAACTGCTACAGAAAGTGGACATTTGGTTGGAGGATAGGAAGATAAGTAGTGAAAGATATTCCCTGCATCTATACTGGCTACCAGATAGGTGTCTTGGATGTTGGTGGAATCGAATGTCCATTGGTCCTGTTTATTTCAAGAGGGTTAAAACTTACTATCAGGAAGTTTCATACCTAACTTTCGTTGTTAACCCTATAGTATTATAAAAGAATCAAGTTTTCACAGTTTGAATAAGAAATATTATCCCCTTTATTCTTTTTTAAGTGTTCTTTTACAATCTCTGGTATACTTTTAGTTTTGGTAATGGAATCTAGCATTCCATTTTAAGCATCAACAGCCTTTAACTGGTGTGTATACTTATGGACTTGGTGATGCCTGTTATGCACAATTTGTCTTTGTCCAAATTATGCACAAGGGAAAAGATTGACAACCTTAATAAGATCCTTAAGAAGTTCATGAAAAATTGGAAAACACTTGTTAAGTAGGCATAGATAAGGCAGATATAACTTGACATATTGGAAAATGAGCTTTCCATTGTCAAACAAACAACTATTGTTGTCTGTTACACTGTTACTGACAATATCTTCTAGAGATGTTTAATCATGAATTTGTTTCCTAGCGTTACAATATGTGGTTAATCATTGCACTGGTTAACAATATCTGATCTTGTCTCTATTTTTGGTAATTGTTCTTGATATTTTAATTTGGAGATTGGTTGATCCATGACACTGGTTTGATATCCATGGCTTTATGTGGTGGTTTAGATCCAGGCCATACAAGTGTCCGTTTTATATCTGAAAAACTCGATGCTAACAGCCATGTTGTTGCTTGTTAGACTTAATCATTGAAGAGTTGTTTTACCATCACTAATATCGGGTGAAAGAATCAAATGTTAAAGTGGTCGATCCTTGGGTCTCCAAAGTAGTTTGGTTTTGACAAAGTAATTTGGCAAGTCTTTCATTTCTCTTTTTCGTTTTTGAAATAATCCTATAAAAGATATGTGATAACAAGAAAAGATGGCTTTCAAGTATGTCGGTATGAGTTGTTGATACATATCCCAAATTATGTATCAGAAAATTTACCGTTTCACCTAGGTCCATGTTGTCATGTATATAGATTTATTGGCTGCAAAGAAAATACACACGTTGACTGAGATTTAGAATCATGATACCTGTGGATACCTAATATTTTCAAATTTGTTTTCTTTGAAATGTTCAATCTGGTGTAGTAAACCTCTAGCTTCATGTCATTTATTTCCTTTGGCAGCAAGTTGATTAACAACCCTTTTGTTTGTGATATTTGTCTCTATTTGAGTGTGTTTTGTTTCCAATTTTGAGAGGAAAAAAAAAAGGAAAATGATTGGTGGTGCATATGTAAGAGCCAAGAGGTTAAAGTCAGATTACGTGGCTTTTGAGTAGACCTCCCGTGGCCAATCCAGTAATAAAGACTACAAGGCTTTTTTAAGTATCAATTTGGGTTGCATATTTTTTCAGTCATTCACATTGCATGAAAATGATAATCTTTTTTTGTTAATGTGCTCCCCAAAAGTTTATCATGGAATAAATTTTGTGTGCATCACCGATTGAAGGCACCCTAATATAAGCAGTCAAAGTGGAGCAATATGCCTAGACATCCTGAAGGACCAATGGAGCCCTGCACTCACACTGAAAACTGCACTCCTTTCTATACAAGCATTACTCTCTGCCCCGGAACCTGATGATCCGCAAGATGCTGTGGTAGCACAACAGGTGTAGTATAAGCCATATGTTTTACTGCCTCTTCCTGTATGTTTGAATTCTACCTTTCGCATTATTCTGATTCAGTTTCGCATGTGTACATTTCAGTGCAAAGAGATTCTCAGATTTTTGTAGTTTGCTGCTTATTTTACTCCTTTGCTTTCTTTATTGTTCCCATGAAAAAACTATGTTGTTCATAATTAGTTGGTCTTCTTGGGGAGATTTCAGTATCTTAGAGACTATCAGACTTTTGTGGGCACAGCTCGTTACTGGACAGAGACTTTTGCCAAGACATCGTCACTTGGCGCTGAGGAAAAGGTTTGTGGGGGGTTGTAATTTCGTTACTTTACATGTGGTTTCTAGATGCTTTCCTTTCCTCACATTACAACTAGTAATCCCCACTTGCATTGCTGGTGAGCAAATTCAGGTAATAGAAATTTTGTGAAATCTTTAAAAGAACATAATGTATTTTGGAAATTAAGTTAAATGACATGTATATTTTCCAAATTTATATTTTTACTATCAATACAGTGTTTTATAATTAAGATGGTTATTTAAGATAGATAAAATTATAATACAAAAAATGTTTTAGTTTAGAACAACAGTGTTGTTTTAATGTATATTTTAAGGGTAATATACTGATTCAAAAATTAATCAAACATCTTCGCATTACAAGTTTTTATGTTATAGGCATGGTTGTTAGTATCGTACGATACGGAGGTAAAACGATACGGATCGTAGTTATGTATCATTTTTGCGTCATATTGTCCGATACACGATATGTTTTTACGATACGATACCGGTACAATACGACTGATACGCACAAAACCTATTTTTTTTTTTTCTGAAACGACATCGTTTTGTCTAAATAAGACACTAATTTTTTTTTTGTATAAAAATTTATGAATCTTGATTAATTTTATGGATTGAGTTCAAAATGGATGTTATAAATTTGGATTAAAAGTCTCTTTGGTGTTTGAAGTTTGAATTAGTGAACTATGGTTGTAAATTTTGCATTATAATATTAGTGAACTATGTTGATGAGTTGAATAGGTGGTAGAGTATTAATGAAATACGATATTTTTTATGAGTGTATGATTTTTTTTCAAAGGTATATATATTTGTTTATTATTTATTTAAAATTGCACTATATCTTTCGATACGCGATATGATATACTATTTTAAAAAACGATACGGCTTTTGATACACGATTTAATAACTATGGTTATAGGTATGAAAGGATATTTCTCTCTTTTTTAATTTCTAAATGATCATAGTGTCCTTAACTATTTTAATAAGGGCATATATGTCAATTAAAAGTTTCTCAAGTTTAGTGACTTTTATTATTAGCTTAGCTGTTTTATTATTTATTGTAGAATGTCATTGTCAACTGTTGATAATAAACATTCTTTTAGCTGATGCTGTATTTTCACAGGTACAAAAACTTGTGGAAATGGGCTTCCCTGAATCTCTGGTGAGGAGTACTCTGGAAGTGGTTGGTGGTGATGAAAACATGGCGCTTGAAAAACTTTGCTCGGGCTAGAACTTGCTTTTATCATTCATTTTCTGTCATCGAAGTCTTTGTGCCGCATGAAGTGGAAAATATACAGACACAAAAAGGATCAATCTATATATAAGCTTTCTTTAAAGATTGTTTTTCTGCATGTTTTAATTGCTTTGTTACTCATCTGTTTCTTCGCTCCCTGTGAATATCCAAGTTCATTGAATACTATTTTCTTTTTTTTTTGGGGTTTCGTAGATAATGAGGCGACTGGAATATACCTGACATCAAGCTTGAGAGACCAACTAGATACCAGCCAGTCTAGCAGGCTGGTGGTCATTGAATCAATGTTATTGTTATACCCTATTGCGGTCAATTCCTGATATGAAGATGTAGCTTCTATATCTAATTTGCTATAGAAAATGCAGCCAGAATAGACTTGTTCTGTAACCTTTGACTCTTTGATTCTTTGAGAACAAGCATATCTAGATATGTTTTTCCCCCATTTGCACTTTTTACTTGTTTAGAGGTCAACTTAGTTGTTTTCCTTGCCAGTCACTGGAGAAAAGAAAGGGTTGGGTGGTGTTGGTTGGCTCTTCCAGGAATCACCTTTGCTTCCCCCCCCCCCTCCCCCCTCCCCCCTCTCCCACCCAATATATATATATACTAGCGATACCTCGTGACTGAAGTCACTGTATACTAAACTATGATACTATGCGTGCATTGAAGTGTGTGTACAGCTAGAGTGTGTATATATAATGAGTGTGTGTTGAAGTGTATGTAGTTGTGTTTGTTTTAGGTCTGTGAAATTTGGGGGAAAAAGTGTAAAATTTTGGGGGGAAAATATAGCCCCATAAGTTCAAAAACCTAGGTATCTTATTATATATATATATAGTGAAAGACCACCTTAAGGATGCAGCCTGATTGGTTAATGTAGTGAAATTTGCGTATATTTGTCATGGTTGGTTTGAGTCATTTGTGCCGGTCAAATAGATTGCGAGGAAGAAGCTAAATTATCTCGTATGTAGAAAAAAACTGTAGTTTAGTCGTTAAATTGATGCCATGGGGTTGTTGTGATGTGGTTGATACATCTTTTTACTGCTTGCCCCGCTGAGAATGAGAGGTGCTGGTTCTTGCATCAATCGTATCTTCATGTTTGGTACCTCTGCTACTTCTGGTCTGGTACGATCTCGTAGACCTTTGGACTCATCACTATCTAGGTCTAACGTGTACACAGTAGGCGTATCAATTTTACAGACATGAGTACGATATATGGTTTTTGTACTTTCACCATTACCTTGTTCATGATTGTTGTTGTGTATAGGTTGATTCCATCTGTAGTGGTAGAAGCAGCACTGTCCAGGACTCCACTGTAAAGACACTGTGCCCCTGGTTACTGAATCATTGATGCTTATGAACTCTTTCTTCTCAATTAATAATTCGAATTCAGATCGAGTAGTTTTTTTTTTTGTTGCTAAAACCCTTAAAATGGTTGTTGAAGTTCTGATCATTTTGAACTAGGTTCGGGTTGACTCTCTCCAACTGTATCTCTAGCAAGGATTAAAATTTTGTTTTGGTGTGTTATTTCAGTTACCTAGAAAATATAAATATTTTGAAAACATAATGAAAATATAGAAAAAGTTTAAGAGTTTATTTTAAAATAAGACATGAAATGTGTCTAAACATCTTGAAAATGGAAATATTTTAGTTGTTTCGAAACAACATTTTGATTTGTGATCTCTAGTCGCTACTCAATTCATTGGAAAAGGTTTCAAATCTTCACGACAGGATTGGATAAAAAAAAACCATATTCGTAACCAATTGCATTGTCAACCAACCATATAGACGACAATGATATAAAAAACAATCATTGCTAGAACAAAGAAAAGATAGAGCCAACGCTCAAACGAAAAAGGGTTTGATGCCCCATATGCATAGCATTTACAATGCTAGAATTGAGACCTCAAAACACCAAACAGGCTCAAATTCAAGAGCAATGATAAACTCTAACTCTCCTTACGGGAGGGGGCTGACAGATGAGAAAGAGCACCATGGCAACGACCAGAGCCACCACCAGCCCTGTGAGCATATTGTCGTCCGAGTCGCAGCATACCGTTCCCATTTTCTTCTACGAGAAGGGGATCTGAGAGGTAACAAGAAGGGAAATCCTGGCTTGTTCGCTTCTGGAAGGTACTCGACCTCTTCTTAAAAAAGTAAGGCCGATCATCTTGACTAAAAAAGAAAAAATATAAGGCAATGCGAGGGGTAGGTAGTGCCCGCCCTATCGAAAATGACGAGCGGCTCAACTGTTTGGCAAGCTGGTCGAGGTGTGGAGTTTCCTGGCGACGTTTCTGCCCTACCCTGCCTAATAGATTGAGGATGACAGGCTGCAGCTAAAGTAAAACCGAACACGTCTACGTCGGGGTGGTGGTCTTTCACTTTCAGTTCTTAGGGGTGTTTTGGATGCTTTCTAGAGCTTCCAGTCGTTTTATGTAGTCCAGTTTTGAGGCTGGGAGTCAATTGGCAGCACTCACCACATGATAGAAACACAGTTGTTAAATTTTAAGGTCTCTCGTGATTTCATTTGTAGGCTTATGCGGTACATGGTATAAAATCGTACCCAACTCAACTCAGTAAAATTTTATCCCGAAGATAAAGTATATATTTTTAACACTCCATCCCTGCCTTTGTATTAAGCATAACACACTTTGATTTGCAATCCTGTTATTAATTTAAAAAGAAAAATCAACCCATGCAATATATATAATTTAGTCCATTTTTAAATAAAAAGTCACATGAATGCGAGCACACCGGCTTGCTACTATACAAAATATACATAACCAAACAATATTTTTGAAATGTCGCGTTTACACACCAAAAAAAAAACACTTACATTATACACAACCCAAAAGGAAAAAAAAAAACAAAAACTGACACGAACCATTCCTCAACAACTCTTGACTAGATTTTTAGTTTCGGTAGTGGACTTTAGGCTTGTGTACAGATTATTTGAAAAGATTTCAAAGAAATTTTTCAGTGAGTATCCAGCAGTTTCTCATAAATAGAGTAAAGAAAATAACAAGATACACTAATTTATCCGTAGAAATCTATTATTTGTAATTCTATAATTTTAACACGAGATCTTATCTTGTTACTCTACGGCCTCACACAAAAATAATTGTTTTACCACTTAGGCAATATACACCGCAAAATTATGTCATTACATAAGTACCATTTGTCACTCAGACAACTCAAATCATAATATTGATTTTTGTATCTTTCAGACAATCCATAACACGACATCAACTCTTGTTCTCGTCACTTAGACAATTCTAGCACACAGCTTATTTTAGTCACAAAGACGACTCGAAACACTTAATTTATTTTCAGTCACGTAGACAATTCATCCCAACAATTAACTTTCGTCACTTAGACGTCTTTACCGTGTAGGCAATTTACTTTGCGTAGACACCCATTTTTTGGTTGTCTCAAACAACTTAACTTTTCTTTATTTTCGTCATACATACAACTCAAAATCGAACACTTAGTTTTTGTCATGTAGACATCTTGTATCCACCATAAATTTTCTTTATAATTCTTGTCATGAAAACAACCCGCAATCAACAAATAATTTCTTTACTGTCTATCTCATCGTAAGGACAAATCACAATCACAAATAAGTTCATTACCCACACAATCATCTCAAATCGCATACACATGTTTCATCACACAATCAACCCAGGCCACAAAAACTTATTTCGTCGTTTAGACTATCTCCATTCCCAACAATATTATAACACTCAATTTATTGAATCTCAACATAACTCATAAAATAAACAATCAAACAAAACTTAATTATTTATGTATAAAGAAAATGTAGGTTAGCGCACCTACAAATAATCCATTTCTTGCATACACTAACACATATATACTTTTTTTTTATAGATAATAAGTTAATATCATACACTTGTCACCCATTTAATCTCACATGGACTAACATGAATAAAATAATAAAATCATGTCATTTAATTTTTCACACCTAATCAATGTTCTTTATAAATTAGTAGTTACCTATCATGCATATTCATATCACATGTGAACATGCTCATAATAAATATTTATATGATCGTCATATGTATTTGGGTCTTACAATATTCATGTCCCTGAGGGCTAAAAACACACAAAAAAAGAGAGTATATAGTTGTGATATACTAACTACACTTTTTTTTTTCCTGGTTGATAAAGGTGGTTAGAGGTGATTAGACGTAGCAATCCCCTCAACGTTTAAACCATAACTACTGACTTAAAAGTCTGTTATATGAAATGCACCAAAACCAAAGCAAGCTACCCCTGCAAGGAATAAATGAATTCCAAAGATCTTGGGCAAATCTAATTGGCTCTGATTCGTTTAGAAAATGTAGTTCGAGGAACTATATGTGGAGCAATTAGGCATAAATTTATACCGACTCCTTAGAATTTGATAACTTTAACTCCATTAACAACTACTTATGAATCTTTTTTCAGTATACCCCCATTTTCTCAAGTTTTGGATCGAACTAATCCATTGACACAAATAGTTCATGGGAGAAAATTGAGTTATTTGGAACCTGGAGAATTGACAAGGCAAATTGCTAATTTTCGAATAAGAGATATTCATCCTAGTCACTATGGACGTATTTGCCCAATTGACATATTTGAAGGAATTAATGTTAGACTTATTGGATCCTTAGGACTTCATGCGAGGATTAGTCATTGGGGGTCTATAGAAAGCACCTTATGAAATTTCTGAGAAATCAAAAGAGGATTAGTCATTGGGGGTCTATAGAAAGCACATTTTATGAAATTTCTGAGAAATCAAAAGGGGTACAGGTGCTTTGTTTATCACCCCATAGAGATGAATACTATATGGTTGCGACAAGAAATTCTTTGGCCTTGAATCAGGATATTTCGGAAGAACATGTTGTTCTAACTCGATATCGACAAGAATTCCTCACTATTGCATGGGAGCATGTTCACCTTCGAAGTACAAACTGATGACCTGAAAATGGGCAGGACTTCCGCCCTATATTGAAGCCAACTAGGCTACTATGCTATTAAGGCAGATTGAGGTCTGTAAAGCAATTAAGATTATGTTGTGTTTTTCTTTGTGTTGGGCAAGTAATTGGCATGGTTAAAACAGAATGGGCCTTAGCGACCTAAAAATTTTCCTGTTCAGTTGTTTGAACTTTTGTGTTTGTAAGTCACTAAACCATATTGTAACTCGGGAGAGGAAAACTGTTTGGTAGATGGTTGACCCACATTACTACGGATGAAAGAGTTGACGAAGACAAACTAGACACAGAGGATCAAAATTCCGTTTCAAAACAATCAAAAGGTCTAAAACATTTTTATTTTCAAAGGTGAATTAATTATGAAATCAAAATTCTAATATTTCAAAGTATTCTATAATATTTCAAAATATTTTATAATATTTTAATACATTTTTAAAATTATTTCAAAATACTTCGGTTTATTTCAACCAACGTTTTAGAAAACTAATTTTTAAATTTTTTATTTTTTTATTCTATTCTCAAAACAGATTGAAACATTTCCAATACACGTCAAAACATTTCCGTTTGCTAAAGGATTGATACAATACACTAAAACAAAATTTTGATCCTTACTTGGGACTAATCTCCGAGGAACAAAGGGCAGGCAGGCCATTTAGAAAGGTCACCATGCACGGCGGTGGCTTGAAATCCACACCAACACCACCATCACCACACACATCCTGCATATTAGCAGCCTCTGCCAGCCACACCAGTTTATCGGGTTACAAGTTGAAAGAAAAGATGTTAGAAACTTATTATTTCCCGAAACAATGTTTATTTTGATGTTCCTCATAGAGTCGATCTGTAAATCCAGCTGCCAGGAAAGGGGAAAAAACACCCACACACGGGTTGGTAAAGAATTGACTTCTACAGAAAAGAAAATAGATGTTGCCTTCTTGTTCCCAGGAATTCTAAGCAGTTGCAGCTATTGGCACTGATCTGTGGCAAGCCCTCTTTGCTGCACGAACGATGTCCTCAACCTGTATAACAGACGCCCCAAAGCATTAGAAAATAGGAGAGAGGGATGGTTTCAATCAGCATTCTACAGAAATATGAACGAAACACTTGTTCTTATTGAACTTTCATAGCTTCTGGTGGTTGCTCCACCATGTTTAACGCATTCATTTTTACACTAAAATATGTGGGACAAATAAAAAATAATCCTTCTCAATGTGGAAAAGATCATTCCCGTTACAACACCCAATCATTAAATCTTTTTCCTTCCATGTTTTTTTATTAGTAAAATATTACAGGACATTATAGGAAACTGATGTTAACTTTGTTTAAGTAGCTTGCAAACAAACCCATAACAAAAGCATTTATTTCAGATAAAGAAAGCCCAATGCCTTTATTCAAAAATACCATCTCAAATTTTCTCCAACCAGAGAATGCATGTGTGATGTCATTAAAACAAAAGAAAGGAATATCTGCAAACACAAACCTGTGGGACGGCCATTCTCTCAAGATTTGCAGCATAGGGCATGGGGACATCAGCCCCTGCAATCCTCTCAACAGGTGCATCAAGATACTCAAAGCTTTCCTCAAGAATAGATGCACTGTTGAAATAGCACGTTCAGTTATAAGTTCATAACGTCAGTTACAAATACAAAAGAAAATAGGAGGAAAATTTGAGAGAGAGAAGCTCTGAATTAGTGGAAAGTAAGTAACCAGATCTCAGCGCCGACACCATGTTGTGGGAACCCTTCTTCGAGAGTTACAAGCCTGTTGGTTTTTCTAACAGAAGCATTGATTGTGGATCTATCAAGAGGACGAATCGAGCGTAGATTTATAACCTGTATCAGAAAGTATAGGAAATATTTCTTCAGAAAAATGACAGAGGAGTGCTCTTAAGTTTCAAATCTGTTGTCCACATCTATATGGAGAAGAACACTCAAATCTTTATTCTTTAAATTACCTCTGCACTAAGTCCTTCCTTTGCAAGAATCTCAGCCGCCTGTATATGATATACTTTTGAGTTAGTTACAGATGAAAAAGTTAGCAGTAGAAGATCTTAGAGGAAACTAGAAATAATATCACGGAGAATATCAACAGTTTCTTTTTTTTTTCCTTCCTTTTTTTTGTTCTTTTAGTTATTTTCCTCTTGTAATTAAGGGCTATTGTTCAAACAAGAAAATTTTCTTTTAGAGATAAATGAATCAAATACTAACGAGCACATGCATAACAATATCAACAAGAAGTTCCTCTATTACGAAATCTTAAGACTGTAATTTCCTCTTCCCAAACCCAAGATAAAAGAACAGAAAATCTGCAGGAGAAATCCAAGAGTGTCTACAGTCCTACATGCAGAGATGCAAGCATAACTTTTAAAGTTTAAACAACTCTGTGTGACTGCTGTAGCTACTAGATTATAGGCTGTATGAATGATTCTTTTACAAACTAAGATGGATGTATACATGTAATTTTAGCACAGAGCAGACATAGACTGCATGTGAAGATGACAAATGTGGAGAGGATGGATGTCTTCTATCTGATGAGGATGGTCAATACTGAAAAAGTTTTTGGAGAAAATGGATTTTTCTCTTGTCCCTAGGAAAAAGGGTAAGAAAAGGGTGAAAGTAGATCTGTCAGGAAAAATAAAGGATTGAAGGAGCTTAGAAATATATAATCTGGGGTTAATTATGTTGGAGTTATTTCTGGGAGACGCGAGGCGGGATGAGAGTTTGCCATGAAAATTATTAGTTGGAATGTACGGGAAATAGGGTCTAGGAATAAAAGAAGCTGTATAAGGTGGTGCTTCTTAGAGAGGGAGGAAAAAGGAGATTATAGAAAGGAAGACAATTAAGAGTGTGCGGGAAGCTAGACATAGGAATTGGGTGTATTTGCCTTTTGTTGGTAGGTCATGTTGTATTGCAATATTATGGGATGTGAGGTCTGTTAAAGTGGAGGAAATGGTGGAGGGAGAGTTTACAATTTCGGTTAGGATTAAGTCTAGTGATGGGCTGAGTGGTGCCTAACTAGAGTTTATGGTCTAAATTGTCATAGGATGAGAAGATGATTTGGGAGGAATCAGCTGGGTTGTATTGATTGTGTAGTCCTCATTGTTGTGTAGGAAGAGACTTTAATGTTCTTAGGTATCTTTCTGAAAAGTTGAATGAAAGAAGGGTGACTAGGAATACGAAGGAGTTCGATGATTTCATTAGACAATCTGGGCTTAAGGATCCTCTGTTGGTTGATGGTACTTTTACTTGGTCAAACTTTAGAGAAAATTTTGTGTGTAATAGGTTGGATAGGTTTCTCTTCTTTGCTTAGTGGGAGGAGTGCTATATGGCCGGAGATTTTACAGAGTATTATGTCGATAGTACTCGATTCATCTAACATTAGGTGGGGTCCTTGTCCTTTTAGGTCTAAAAACATGTGGTTAGAGCATCATGCAATTATAGGTCAATTTAGGGAGTGGTGGGAGGAAGAAAGTTTAGAGGGATAGGAAGGGTATAAGTTTATGAAAAAGTTGGAGTGTGTGAAACAAAAGATAAAGAGATGAGATAAGGAGGTTTTTAGGGACATTAGAGTCATGAAAGGTCTAATTATGAATAGAATTTGTGAGATTGATAAGATTAAAGGGAATGGTGGATTGAATGAGAATTTGAGAAGAGATAGGAGGGAGCTTAGAAATGAATTTGATTAGAAATGAATTTGAGAATGTAGTGTTTAAGGAAGAAATTAGTTAGAGACAAAAGGCTAGAGTGAAGTGGTTAAAAGAATGAGATAATAACTCAAAACTTTTCCATAGGGTTGTTAATGGGAGGAAGAAGAATAAATTTACTAATAAATTGGAATTGGAAAATGGAATGATTATTGCATATAATAAAGGGATGATTGAGAGTAAGATTGTTGAGTTCTTTACTCGGTTGTATTCATTTGAGGGATGTAGACCGAGGTTGGAAGGTTTAGAGTGGAAATCTATTGGTGGGACTAATCTAGATGGTTGGAAAGGTCACTTGAGGAAAAGGATGTGAGAAAGGCTATTTTTGAGTGTGGTAGTCATAAGGTTGTGTATCAAGATGGTTGTTATATAATAAAAGAGGACTTAATGAAGCCATGAAGGTATTAGATGAATTTTTCCAGAATGGAGTTATGAATACAATAACCAATTCCACCTTTATTTGTTTGATCCCAAAGAAAGAAAAGTCATTGAAAATAAGGCATTTTAGGCCTATAATCTTGGTGTCGAGTCTCTATAAGATTGTTGCAAAAATTTTATCTCTAAGGTTAAGGGAGACTTTTGCAGGAGATTATTTTTGAGTGTCAAGGAACTTACGTGACAGGTAGACATATTCTTGATGTGGCTCTTGTGGCTAATGAGGTGATGGAGGATTATAGAGCAAGACGTAATGAAGGTTTTGATTTTGAGAAGGCCTTACAATCATGTGGATTGAAAATTTTCAAATTATGTTTTGGAGGTGAAATGCTTTGGTGATAAATGGAGGAGTTAGATGTTGGGATGTTTGCATTCTATGAACTTCCCCATTATGCTTAATGGAAAGCCTGGCAGTAGATTTAAAGCTTCTTGAGGGCTGAGACTCCCTTATCTCCTTTCCTTTTAATTTAGTGGTGGGATGGATTGAGTAGGTTAGTGAGGAAAGCTGAGAGATGTAATTTGGTGGGAGGTTTTATTGTGGGTAAGGAGTGAAAAAGGAGTGACTCAGTGGAATTGTTATTATGGCTATTTTTTTGGATTATTCCGAAGAAAAAGAATTCAAGAATTTTCAAAGATCGAAGTGAGGATGTGGTTGGATTACAAGATCATATGCATTTTTTTGCATCATAATGGGCTTCGGTCTCTAAGGCTTTCAAAGGAATCCCACTTTTTATTATTTTGGCAGGATGAAAAGCTTCTTGTGATTTATGAATCTTTATCATGTATCTCCTTGCTTGTATTTTCTTTCCTTCGGTTGGATTTCTTATCCAACCTCTTCAGTGTACTTTGTGATTTTTATTAATAAAATAGGTGTTGAAAAAGTGGCCAGAAGGCCTTAGCCTTTTGTGGTCTTAAATGCGGAGGCCACAAAAATCTTTGGAAATGGCACAAAAGTCAAGGAAGGCTTTGAATGAATTCTCTCCGCATGAATTCTCAAGCGGCTTGTCAGGTGGCTCAATCACGCACCGATCTGATTGCGCATCTGATAGCTTTGACATTTCCTCTCCTTCCTATATAAAGGGAATTCAGGCTAGGGGTTAAAGGCATTGGAAATCAGAAGCTCTCTTTTGAATATTAGAGTGTAGAGAGTTGTGAGGCATCTGAGAATTGAGAGATATCCAAGTGATATCAGTGAGGCCAGAGTGTATTCTCTCTAATAGGAGTGAATACTTGCGAGACAAGATACAATTGTTCTTGTATTGTTGTTTTATTCCACAGTGAAAACATCCAATTGTTGTTTTCCGTGAACGTAGCCAATAGCCGAACCATGTAAATCTCGTGTCTATTTGTGTGTGCCTTAATTATTTCTTATCACTTTATTGTCTACCTCAGTACTCAAATCGTGGGTCCGTCACAAGAAGTTAGTATCAGAGCATTGTTGTTGGACCCAGATACTGTCGGTAGGGCCGATCACTATTGGTGGGCTTGGGTACTATTCACCGATGTCCCGATTTTGCCGGAATTTTGATTTCAGATTTTGATATGGCCGCAAAGTTTGAAGTAGAAAAGTTCGATGGAACAATAATTTTAGTACGTGGCACTTAAAGATGCGTGCCTTGTTGGTTCAACAAGGATTACTAAATACCATAGAGAAAAAGGATGCAGTAGGGAGAGATGCCTTTCCCGCAACAATGTCTGACAACGAGAAAAAAGACATCCAGGCAAAGGCTCAAAGTACTATCACATTGAGCCTTAGCAATAAGGTGTTGCAGGAGGTTGCTGACGAAACTACGACCGCAGGTTTGTGGTTAAAGTTGGAGCACCTGTACATGATAAAGTCTCTCATGAACCGTTTGTATTTGTTAAAGCGGTTATTCACTCTCCAAATGCAAGAAGGTACACTTGTCAAAGACCATCTTGATGAGTATAATAAAATCATGTCAGATCTGAAGAACATAGATTGTACATTCGATGATGAAATTCAAGCCATGATTCTCATGTGTTCTTTACCACCCTCGCATGAGCACTTTGTCGATACCATGATGTATGGTAGAGAGTTTCTTTCCATGGAGGACATAAAGGCAGCCTTGAACTCGAAAGAGTTAAAGAATAGGGTGCCTAAAAATAGAGACGAAAGCTCATGCTAAGGTTTAGTTGCAAGAGGACGATCAACAGATGATGACTCAAGTAGCAAATACCGATCTAAATCCAGAAGAGGATTTAGAAAAGTCAAATGTTTTAACTGTCACGAGCAGTGTTATTTAAGGCGTAAAGCGAACCGAAGCGACCAAGACTCCTAACGCCTAGGCAAGAAACGAGAAGCGAAACGAAGCGAAACACTTTACCAAAGCGAAGCAAACAGTTAAAAAAAAAGTAAATATTTTAGTTTAATTACTTCTAAACATCTAAGTTCTAATTTATATATACTAAATATTTAAATGTAAGTAAAACCATAAACATTTAAATTAAAACAAACACTAATAATATCTCAAATCTTAATAACAGTCATAACTTAAACATTTAAATTCAAACGAACACTAATAATATCCCAAATCCTAATATTTAAAAACATAAGACACGCAATCCAAGCAACTAAAGAAACCATCTCAAGGACTTAGAAATTAATCCTCATCACTAAAGAAACCATCACACTATAATCAAAGGAACAAAACACATTCACATGTACTGAATAACATAAGCAAAATTAGGAAAGTAGCAGAAGCAGAATGAGAAAAAAAAAACAGAAGCAGAATCAATTATAATTAATTTCATATGTACTGAATAACAGAAGCATAACAAGAACACATTCACATGTACTGAATAACATTTCATAACAATTGTAAACAATTTCATATTGATTGGACAGCAAAATAGAAGTAAAATCAGGACAACAACAGAATCAACAAAAAAAAAACATTAGTAGAATGAAAAAAAAAAAACAGATGCAGAACAGGAGCAAAATCAATTGTAAATAATTTCATATGTACTGAATAATTGAAGCAGAACGAGAGCACATTCACATGTACTGAATAACATTTCATTACAGTTGTAAACAATTTTATATTGACTGGACAACAAAACAGGAGCAGAATCAGCAAAAAAAAAAAAAAAGAGAAACAGAATCAGAAAAAAAAAGGAGTAGAATCAGAAAAAAAAAAAACAGAAGTAGAAAAAAAAAAACTAGAAGTGAGAAAAAGAATTATAACCAGAAGAGAGAAAAAAAAAAGACAAATAGAAGAGAGAAGAAAAAAAGGAGACTTACCTGTGATCAGCGAGGAAAGAGCAACGACCGTGTCTGTCAACTCTGTCCAACGATCGTCTTTGTCGACTTTGGTCAGCAATTGTGTAGGAGAGCAGCGATCGTCTTTGTCTGTGTCCAGCAATCTGAGCAAAATTAGGATTTGGGGACTATAGTTATGGGATAAGGGGATAATTCGGTGTATCAGCATCTTATAATTTTTTTTCCACTTACCCAATCCAACGGTCCATAATAAAAATAAAACAACTTCGCCTCGCATGACTAAGGCGTTCGTTTTTTCACCTTTCACTTAAGCGAAAGCGCTCGCTTTTCTCGCTTCAGTCACAGTCGCTTCACTTGAGATGCTTAAAGCGAGATATCTTCGCTTCTCTTTTCGCCTAGGCGAGCTTTTCAAAACACTGGTCACGAGAAAGGGCATATTAGAAAAGACTGTTCGAATCATAAAAGCAAAACAAAGATTGAAGACTCAAATTCTAGTAACGTTAGTATCTTCAGTCCTTTCCACAACTCCTAATTGGATTTCCAATCGGCCCATCCAATCTAATTCACAACTCAGTCAATAGACACTACACTAGTAGGGTGAGTCAGGTAATTAGAAACGATTTTGAGTCCTTCCTAAAATCCCTCCTTGGATCCTAGGAGCAAGGATTTACAGTCCTTGAGAACAACCTTTTGATCCCAAGATTTTTGGTCCCTTAATTTCGTATTTCTGAATCATACATTTGAATATGACTATCCAAGACCCTATTAGAAAAGGAGCATCACCGGCTGACACGAAATATTAATAGCAACAGGCAAACAACACTTGCACAAGATTTCGGTGCCTTCTCTTGAAAGAACAGAAGTTTCATTCGAGTTGTTATCATACCGGATCAAAAAAGTAAAAAGTTGTACTAAGATCCAACGGGCCGGTGTTGCAAAAGAAGATTCCACTGATGCTGATGTAATCACGTGTTCAACCAATAGCACAGGTGATTAGTGAATTCTTGATTCAGGTTGTTCCTATCATATGTGTCCCAAACAGGACTGGTTTGTCATCTATAGGTCAATCAATGGTGGTAAGGTCTTAATAGAAAACAATGTAGCCTGTAAGGTGGTTGGGATAGGCACAATACGAATCAAGATGTTCGATGGCATTGTGAGGACTATGACAGACGCAAGGCATGTTCCAAATCTAAGGAAAAATCTTATTTCCTTTGGTACGCTTGACTCCAACGGTTGTACGTATAAAGTTGGAGGTGGAGTCATAAGGATTTCTAAAGGTGCTCTTGTTACGATGAGAAGGCAAAAGCAAAATGGCCTATATCTACTACAAGCAGCACAATGACAAGTGTCTGTCGCAGCTTCATCTTCAAATTCAAGCTCAGACACTACTAAGTAATGGCATATGCGATTAGGACATATGAGTGGGAGAGGATTGAATGTGCTAAGCAAACAAGGTTTGATGTGTGGTCAAAAGACTGGAAAGTTGAACTTCTATGAGCATTGTGAATTCGGAAAGCAGTGCAAGGTGAAGTTCATCACAGCATTTCATCAGACCAAAGGTACTTTAGATTATATTCATTCTGGCCTTTGGGAAGCCTCTCGTGTTTCATCTCTTAGTGGTGGAAGGTATAAGTTGACCTTCATTGATGACTATTCTCAGAAGGTCTAGATATTTATATTGAAGCACAAGAATGATGTCTTTGGAAAGTTCAAACAATGGAAGGCTATGATCGAGAAACAGACTGGCGCTTACGAACTGACAATGTCATGAAATTTTCTGGAGGTGCTTTCAATGAGTTCAGTAAGGAAGAAGGAATCGTGAGACATCACATGCTGAGGAAAATACCACAGTAAAATGGGATTGCAAAACGAATGAATAAAACTCTCTTGGAGAAGGTACGATGCATGCTCTTAAATGTTGGTCTATCCAAGAAGTTTTGGACTGAAACTGTCAATACAACTTGTTATCTTGTTAATAGGCCTCCATCGACAGCTATCGAGAATAATACTCCTGAAGAGGTTTGGTTCGGATCTAACTGCAAGTTACACTGATTTAAGAGTACTTAGTCGTCCTGCTTATGCTCATGTGAATGATGGTAAACTTGAGCCAAGGGCAAGGAAGTACATATCACTAGGGTATGCAGACGGGTGAAAGGTTATACACTGTGGTGTGCAGATACTAAACCACCCAAATGTATCATCAGTAGGGACGTGACCTTTAATGAGTTGCTATGCCTGAACCCAAGAAGGAGAAGTCTCTTGATATTGGAAATGACCACGGTGTTAGCATGCAGGTGGAGTTTGAAATGGAAGCTCCAAAGAACTTGCAAGAAGATTTGCACGATGATGCGCAAAAGAGGAACAAGACTTTGGTGTGACTCCGCAACAGCAAGGATACATACTTACTAGGGACAGAGAAAAGAGGCAGATTAAGCCGCCTTAAAGACATGCGTACGAGGATCATGTTGCCTATGCACTTGGTGTGCCAGAAAATGTTGAGGCTCGCGAGTCAATCACATATCATGAAGCCATCACTAGTGAAAATCTTGCAAATATGATGACGAAGGTAATTTCAGCAAGCAAGCTCGAGTATTACTTGGACTTAATCAACATTGTACCAGTTTGAGCGCCTAGGCGCATTAGAGAAGACGATCGGGAAAGAGTTTTCATATGACTTGAGCAGCTTCTGTCCAAGGTGGTGAATTGTTGGAAAAGTGACCTGAAGGCCTTGACCTTTTGTGGTCTTAAATGCAAAGGCTACAAAAGTCTTTCGAGATGACATAAAAGTCAAGAAATATTTGAATTAATTTCCTCCGCATGAATTCTCAAGCGACTTGTTTGGTGGCTCAATCACGCACAGATCTGATTACATCTGATAGCTTGGATGTTTCCTCTCCTGAATTCCTATATAAAGGGAGTTTAGGCATAGGGGTAAAGGCATAAAAAATTAGACGCCCTCTTCTGAATATTAGAATGTAGAGAGTTGTGAGGCATTTGAGAATTGAGAGATATATAAGTGATATCAGTGAGGTCAGAGTGCATTATCTCTAGTAGGAGTAAGTACTTGCAAGATAAAATACAGTTGTTCTTGTACTGGTTGTTTTACTTTGCAGTAAAAACATCTGATCGTTGTTTGCCGTGGACGTTGGTAATAACCGAACCACGTAATTCTCGTGTCCCTTTGTGAATGCCTTATTTATTTCTTGTCACTTTATTGTCTACCTCAGTACTCAAATCGTAGGTCCGTCACAACAGTAAGTGTGTTTCCTATCAAAAAAAAAAAATAGAGTACTGCTAACCTAATGCTTGACCTGGTACCACAAGATTCATAAATCAAACATATTCCAGAACTACAACCACTAAATCAAAGTTTGGATACTAGTGTACTACTGTGAAGAAGAGCATTCTATGGCTCTTGACATCGTAAGTACTAAGTAACGTACAATCTTTGTTGCAACAAGATGTCATTTATCTCATGCTTTGATTTCGGTAATTATCTAATTGACACAATGCACATCCTCAGAGAACACAATTACACACAAATACATAAGATTCTGATGGACTCGTCATTTTCACGTGTTAAAGTCTATGGACTGGTTCTGGCCTGATAAAGAGTACCATGTTGAAGTAGTAAAATCGACAAACCACCACACGAGTATGAATAATACATATATTTTACTTGAACAGTACAATCAGGTCATTAACAATTGATTCTAATACTACTTCAGGAAAGAATAACAAACCTGGAGAGCATAGCCAACCATCTTGGAGAAAGCTGTAATGGTCACATCTTTTCCTTCACGTTCTATCTGTTGACATTTGGAAAGTGAGGAAGAAGATAATAGTGAATGTCGTAAAGAAACTATAATAATAAGTTTATGAGAAAATGCCTTGGCTTTCCCTATTGGAAGGCAGAAACTAGAATCAAGAGCTTCAGCTGAAACAGGGAAGGACTCGCCATATCTGCATCACATGAATCACCTCAGCAAAGATGAAACGAACACCAATAGTTTAGCTGACCAAACCAAATCCACTAAAATTATATGTCACTCAAGTACTCACAGCAACTCATTTTCAAGAAAAACAACAGGGTCTGGGTCCCTTATAGCAGCTTTTAGAAGACCCCGAGCATCCTCTGATGAGTACGGAGCAAGCACCTTTAACCCTGGACATGAGCCAAACCATGCTGCGTAGCACTGACACATGCGAACACACACACACACACACAGTTTGAAGTTAGCAAAGGAGATTGTGCAGTTTTTGACCGTGTGATATATATCTTAAGAAAAGAAGAGTAATTTTTAATTATAAGTCAACATGTCGGAGAAAAAAGGATGGTAAGCTAAAACAATACAACCACCACAAAACCGTGTTATAGAGCAAAATTACTGAAAAACATGCAATCCAACACACCAATGGCCCAATGCAAAATTTTATTGAAGTTCCTTCTATTGCCTCTAGCAGCAACCTAAGACTCCTTTTCACTTCAGAATGATAACACCACTTTTTCCGGGGATTTCAACAACTGACCATGTGATTCCCTGTCACTCAAAAAAAATTGGAAACAGATGGGGAAGAGCAGTCATGTTTATCAGTTCCAATGATCGATGTGACAGGTCTGCTCCTACGGCACAACCCAACTATGACTTTTCCCTATGAATAGGTAGAAGTGTTAATCGTGCTGAGCTTTGAGACCTTGAGCCCGAGCCTGACAACTTTGCTTTTCTAAACGAGGCCTAAAAAATTGTTCAAACTCGGCTAGTTTAGAACTCGAGCCGAGCCCGAGCCTGAGCCAAGTCCAAGTAACTTGACTATTTTACATATAAGAGAGCCTAGCCTTGCGAGCTTGAGTCAAGCCTTTTAGCACGAGCCGAGCTCGAACCGAATTTTATCTGAGCCAAACTCGAGTAGCTCGTCTCGATTAACACCCCTCTGAATAGGTCTTAAAAGTTATTCAATATGGAGAAAAGCTCAAAACATTATCTCCTTGTTAATAACAAGCAACTATACATGATTCATATACAACACCAATCTTTTTGCAAACAATTATTTCCTTACATAGCTGAACTGTGGAAAGGGAACTATACTAGTGAACTAAGTACAATGTACTCCCAAACTACACTGGATTGCACACACCACAACACCACAAAGAAGAAAAGGTAAACAAGGAAAAGCAACAAACCCCACACCTCCAAAGTACAATTTATCTTACAAAACTCAATAAAAGCACTTTACCTGCACCACTCGCCCTCCAAAAAATATACAAAAAAACACAAGGGAAAAAAAAAGGAAAAGAAAACTTAGAAATAAATGGCCATAGTTGAAAACTCAAATTCTTGTTCTCAACAACCTCCTGTCCTCCTTCCCAAGTACAAAAAAAGCCCAGCAAAAGAAGTTCCAAAGTATTCCCATCCTTCTCCTATGGCATTCCTTGAACAACACTCAAGTCCCTCTCTAACAGAATTCTGTAACATGCAATGCACTCTATTACAAAGAGAAGCACACTCCAGATATACTTCAACATCAGGCAATCCAGATGAAAATGCCCAACAATCTCTTCTACTGCCCAAACATGTACAACACCAGTTTGGTAGAAATAGTCAATTCAGAATCGAGCTCCTGTTATCAAATGCAAGGATTTCCTCCCATGAAGCTGTACATGCAAAGAGGGAAAAATGGGAACTCAGAAGGTACTTTTGGCTTCCGAAACGCCTATCCAAGGGAATGAAGAAACCCAAGCACCACCAAACTTGTCCTGAGAAGAAACAACCGTGAAGGTATCAATCCCTGAAGCTGTCAACCTCAGAAATTCACCTTACCCTCTGTCAAAACAGAGCATAGACTATCCACACACTTTAACTCCCACCCATGCACTGGTCAGCAATAACTGGGATCCTTTGCAGCCACAGATTCTGATTTGATCAATGACATACCACAAAAGCATCCTTACACACCACATTACAGACCGAGTGTCATGCCAAAGTGAGCCTCCGTCCATCTCAACAGAGGGTTAATATAATTCTCGTACTAAATCTAAGTCCTTCTTAAAGAAATAATTCACGGAATGACTCACATCATTAGATACCCGTTTGGCCGTGTGACTCTTCCACTTTTGTACTTGCTAACAAATACCCTTCTCCACTATTCAATGGCATATCTCCACAACCATTTCCCACAATAAAACACCTTTAGCTTCATAGACCAAAGCCTCCTAGAAAAAGAGATTTTCTTCTGAATATTGCGTATTTAGGTGATATTTGAATTTCCCTCTATTACTCCCCACATAAAGTACCTTTGCAATTACTCCAAAGTCCTTTTTTTTCTTCTGTGAAGTAGTGTCTCCAATCTATTAGCCACGCAAACAGATATGGAAAATAGACACCAAAGGTTAGAATAACATTATATGATACTTCCATTGTTTCCTATATTTGTAAGACAAACTAAGGGACCAAGCCTGTGGCTACACTTATGCTCTAATTTATGACTTTTACTTCCTATTATCTCCAATTCAAAGCTAAAATTTGGTTAGGTGATAATTCCAGTAACAAACAATGGGTAAGCAGCACAAAAGTCATGTTTGGTGTAGTATCAAGCGAAATTCAGCGGCACGTAGAAGACTGAGATGCAACATGTCAACAAAGAACATTGAGATAAAAGCCATACCTGGGAATGCTGAGCACCAACTCCAGCAGCAGCACCATTTGGTCCTCTGAAAACAATAGGCACAGATATTTGACCAGCTGACATGTAATTTGATTTTGCAGCAGAATTAATGATATGGTCAATTGCCTGCAACAGAATCCAAAAATTAGCAGCTATGCCTGCATTGACAAGCATCTAATCACATAAGCGATTTTAAAGTGCTAAGCATCCAAACATGGTTGAACATATCTCAGCCTTTTCCTTGTATCATCTTTTCACTCTCCCGTATAGGAAACCCTACTGCCATCAACTTAAAATGAAAGAGGTAGAAATGAGAATGAACAAAGAATCAAAAAAGAAAACACCCAACTGTACGGCCCTATCCCAGAACAAACTGAAGGCCAAGGGGTGATAAAAGCGCCCCTTAGTTGCAAGATTCAGTTTAGCTAAACCACTTGCATAATCATTAGCCAATCATGGGTCCAACAAATTATCTAACCACAAATTCAAAACAAAGATAGTCAACCTTCAAATATTGCATAGTTGCTACATCAAAGGACTTTTTACCATAAATATACGGCAAAATAGAGCCAGCATGGCTGAAGAGTTTTTAGCACAAGATTTATATAGGTATACATTTCTATTTCTAATCCATTAAAAAGCAAGGAATTTCAGCAAAGAACTCAAACCTGCATTGAAAAGTTAAATGTCATAAATTCTACAACAGGTTTCAGCCCATAGTAAGCAGCACCAACTCCAATCCCAGCGAAGCCAGCCTACAAATTTGTAAATAGATATATGAGGACAATATTTTTTTCAGAAGATAAACAAGGAAAATATTATTGAGCATATAATTTAGGCAAGTCAAAACAGAAAAATAAATGGGCAGAAAAGAAAGGCGAATCAATCACAAATGAAAACAGAAGAGCTTCGAGTATAAGGAGAAACCTCTGTAATGGGAGTATCGCGAACCCTATCGGGACCATACTTGTCCAAAAGTCCTTTAGAAATCTGATATAGAATTCAAACATAAGAACTAACATTTAGAGAAGATAAAATGGGCAAGCATGGGCAGCCTTTAAAGTGGAAGAGAATGAGGACACATCTCACAGAGCATTTCTAACCTTGTAAGCACCCTGATATTCACCAACCTTAAAATTTCACCCAATAAACAAATATCAGAACTGGACATCAGATCATATCAAGCTATGGAAACAAAACGGAAAACAAATACTCAAGCTTCCATTATACCTCTTCACCCATTATAAATACTTTAGGATCTGCAGACATTTCTTCATCAAGTGCAGAATTTAAGGCATCACGCACTGTCATCTGCAAGAAATTGGCACTAAAAAAGAGATAAAGTAACAACAAATATAATAGCTCACATGCCCACAACAGATATATACAAAGAAGCAACAGAAAGCTGACTTCCTGCATGGGCTAGAAAGGAGGAAAAATAAACCAGAAATGGACATGCAGAAAGAATATGTATCATTAAATTCAATCCAATCAAACACTAACTTGCAAAATTTAGTTCAGCGGAACGTCATCTTGTCATGAGAAAATAAGAAAAAAAAATCATATACCTGAGAAAGAGCTTCCTACCTAAGCTCTTGTAACATTCAAGTTAAAAAAAAATTCATAGGAGAACAAAAATTTAATTAAAACTCACAATTTCATTGTTCTTTTGGATAAATTTTATTAATAGGAAAATGGAGCTTTACAAAGAAGGGGAAAATAAGAAGGAAAAAAAACTATAACAAAACAGCATTAGGAATATAATAGTAAATTATATCCTAGAAGTTGAGAGAAACCAATTTCACACGCAAAACATGTTGATTTACTTCTATACTCCGAACAAATGGCAAAGTAAAAAAAAATAAGAAGCAACTTAGGAGTATCAAACACGGTAAACAGGTGAGAATAAGCTCATAAAGTGGCCCAATAAATCCATTACTAAAAACTATTTTTTTTCGTGAGGACTACTATCTAAAACAATTAACACCCAAGTTTCCTAAATGATTCATTCCAAGTCCCCAAAAAAAAACTACCTTACAATCTAGCCATTTTCCGTGATCCCAATATTAAAGAATGGCGTGATTTACATAACATGTGCAGACATGATAATGGAAGGAACTTGAATATACATCAACAGCACAATAACAAAAATATATATGAATTACAATTAATCACCTCTTTTGCTGCAGATGAGTAACTCCTGGAGGCATAAACTGCTGGCAGAACTGGAATCCTCTCTAAGGACCGATTCAAAATCTTATACACACAAACAAACAATCAAGTTCGTTTTAGAAAAAGGTAAAACAGTTCATTAAATCCAATTAAGCCCACAGAAATTCAATTACAAACAAAAAACAAACCACGTAAAAACTAACAAAATGAATCACGCGATTAAAATCAAATATCAGAAAATGTTCAGCTTCTAACCGCTGCAGGATTGCCTCCTCTGCTGACGATTCTTTGCCTGATAATTCCCCACATATCTCCTTCTTCACAGCCTTAATTTAACCCTAATTAACAACGCAATACGATTTCAAATCATTCAATTCAATACGCGCAACCACATTTCCAGATCAAAACATCGGTGTTCATGAATGAAAAATTTATATACAAACAGACACATGTACCGGAAAACGGAGCGAATCAAATAGGAAGTGAATCAATCAAGAACAGTAAGATTTTGAATTGAAGGATCCAAGTACGATGAGAGAAAAAAACACCACACCTGGTTGATAGTGGACGGCTAGGTTAGGTGAGGTTGAAGACAGTAGGGTGGGCAACGAACGATTGTCAACTTCGGTTGGAATGAGATGAGAGAGAAAAGCGACTAGTAAACCGGCGGCCCGAGTCGGCTAGCTGATATATTTTTGGACTAATTTCAATTTGTATCGTCAATGATGCCTTAAATCTCAATTTATACCTTCAAATTTTAAAAATATTAATTTATGTGACATAAATTCGTAACAATGCACACCTGAAACTAACTCCGTTCATTTTGCCATAAAAAAAGTTTGAACTAATTATAAATTATACCCCTCAAAATTTAAATATTACATATTTATAATTCAAAAAGAATTTCACCTATTAATGCTCGTTAAATAACTCTTAATTATATTATGTCATCACATTTTTGTGTCGTATTCAAGTCATTAAAAAAATATTTTTACAATTTTTAAAAATTTATAAAATACCTATTTTTTACCTACAATACTTGTTAAATAGTTATTTTATGCCTACAGTTGGACACAAATCTTTTAATTGTCCGATCAAATTAAAGTTACATACAAATAACACAACTGTAGATAGAAAATAGTTATTTAACGATTATTATAGGCAAAAAATAAATATTTTTTAATTTTTAAAAAATTAAATAGTATTATATGAATTGTCGTAAATGTAAAATATATGACACAACGCGATTGACTCTAAACGAAAATATTTTTTGCGCTAAATTTTTTTTTTATTAACTCGAATACGGCATGAAAATGTTATGACACCATATAATTGAGAGTTATTTAACGAGTATTAATGGATGAAATTATTTTTAGATCATAAATGTGAAATATTTAAAATTGGAGGGGTACAATTTATAATTAATTTAAACTTTTTACCTGGATAATAATTAGTTTCAGGTGCACATTTATATGTATTTATATCTATTTTTAAACTTTGATGGTATAAATTGATATTTGAGTGATCTTTTAGGGTACAAGTTAATATTAATCATTTTTTTTTTCTTATGTAGCGTAAATTACATTGGAAGTCCCCAAAATATAGAGGTTATCTCATTTTAGTCTCTAGTATTTTAATTGCACCATTTTAGTACTTTGAAGTATTGAATATGTTTTATGAGATCCTTCAAGTAGACAACATCCAAATTGTTAACGGTTTTTTATTATAAACTTGTCACGTAATCTATATAATAAAGTAGAATGAAATTGAATTTGGGAGACAAAGAATAGTATAGATCATTTCGTGACTGAAAAAAAATCATCTAATCAACGACGTTATCCCAAACTGTTTCAAACTATTGATGTTTCAGATCGTCTCAATCCGATGTACCACATTAACTCTTTTAAAAAAAATTTGCTGCTCAAAAATTAATATTCCAAAATTCAATTCCCCAAAATCTTTTCTTTAAATCAAGCAAATCTCTCTCTCTCTCTCTCTCTCTCTCTCTCAATTCACACCAAAAGTATTAATTTTTCATAACATTTTCCTCTGTATCTCACGATAGATAGATAGTATATCAAATTTTCATAATATTAGATTGTGTTTGATTCAAGCAAATACTACGTCTTTCCGTAGATAGATAATATATATGACAAAGCGAGATAGTTTATTATGAAAATATTCTTCTATATCTTTCTTTGAAAGAAAATTATGTAATAAATATTAGATAGATAATATATATCACAAAATTATAAGCAATACTATAAACATGAATCAAACAAATTCAATATTTAGTGAACAATATGAAGCAACAATCTTTACTAAATAATTCAATATTAAATAACGTTTAGTTTAAAAAAAATATACTAAGAATATAAATAATCGAAAAGAATGATATAAAATTAAAAACATTATTATAAACTCAAATCATACAAATTTAATAGTCAGATTGTATTTTTTGGAAGTTGCTTGAATTTTTGATAGTTATATTTGGTCATTTGATAATATCTGCAGACTTAATTTATTTGTGGAAGTATTGTTTTAATTTTTATTTTAATTATGAATTTTGTTGTTATTTAGATAAATTTGATTATGAATGTTAAAATCGTAGATTTTGAATCAAAAACAGAACATTGAATATTATCAATTGATATATTTTTTCAGTTATTTGAATTAATATGTTTCAATAGTTATAACATAATTTTTGTGGCGTAACAATTTAATATGAAAATATATGTTATACATGTAGGTTGATGTTATGAAAAATATTAGCGAACTCATTTTGTTCGTCGTTTATTACAATGTTGTATTTTACTTTACATTTATATATGGATGAATATTTATAACTAATTTACGAGTAACACAGTGTCTTTAGGCACGGACAATTGCTAGTACTTACATATGGATAAAAAAAGTTTAGATAACTCTTGACCAAAATTTGGTAAGTTTTTGACAAAAAAATGTGTAACATGGGTAGTTCTTGACCAAATTTTGGATAGCTTATGATCAAAATTGTATAACTTTGATAGCTCTTTGATCAAAATTTAGATAAAAATTTGGTCAATAGTTATTCAGATTATTTTTTTTACCCATATTTAGGTTTTACGTGAGAAGTTTATAATCAAAAATCATTAACAATCAGGACACTATCTACTTAAGAGACCACATATTCAATACTTTAGAGATTAAAATGAGACAATTAAAATATTTGGGACCAAATAAGACAAATACCATACTTTAAGGATCTCCAGTACAATTAATCCTTAAATTTAAATTTCTCAAAAAAAAAAAATATAGGAAGCATTACATTTTGACTTCTAAACTCTGACTTTAGTGTCATTTTGTCCCCTCTATTGGTAAGTTATTGAGTTTCTCACATTGTCCTTTAACAGTTGGAATTTTTTTTGTCACTATTGTAAACTTTTACAGGAGAGAGAGAATGAGGTTCGAACCCACGATCAAAAAATCTAACAACGAGTAGGATAGCCATTAAGTCAACTGTTGATCTTCAAACTTTAACTATTGGAATTTGTTTTGCACTGCACTAAAATTAAACACCCATGATGTTTTAGATGAAAAAGTGTCCACCTATGTAGTAAAATACATTTTGAAACTAATAATAATATTTTGTTGTGTAATGTTAGAAATATAATAGTTAAGGAGCAATGCAGGACAAATATTAAAATTATTCAACATACTATTCAATTTTTTAGCATGAAAAATAAAAACATTTAACCTTTTTTCTAGTAATTTGACTTCCATTTTGATGAAGATTTTTAGAAATTTAGTTGAGTTAGTTAAAATTAGGGCAAATGAAAGAATAAACACTTTTAAGTCAGGAAAAATTATAATTTTTTGTAATTTTGTTATACTAATACAACTATATATTATTTAGGGTAAACCACATAAATAGCCCCTAAACTTTATTGTTTGTTTTAAATTGCCCCCTGAACTTTCATTTTTTTGATTTTACCCCCTAGTTTATTTAAAGAATTTTAATCTAACACCTTCTGTTAGATTTTAGAGTTCAATAAGTAACGGTAACTGCAAATGAAGAAGAAGCAAATGACTTCTACTTCGCAAGGACATCAAGGACAAGGTCGAGGCTATTAGGACCAATGCCAAGGCCATGGTCAATATTCCCAAGGTGAAAGAATTCTACGGGCACACCACAGGGAGCCCCACAAACATGTTTCTATTGCCACCAGCCAGGCCACTTGAAGAGATAGTGTCCTCAGAGGCAGGGATCCCAGAGCTACGGGGCATCTCAACCCAGTTATCAGTGGGACATCCACAGACCTACTTCATTCCTCTCTACCCCACCATGGGCCAAGGAAATCAGTTCTAGTTTCAGGGTGCGGCACATGCCCCTACCACTTCACGAGCGAGGACTCCGTAATCAAGCCAGAAGGGTCAGGGCTTTCAGGCAGGAACTTCAGGGACCCAGGGGCGAGTCTTTGTCATCACACCACAGACTTTATCAGTAGAATAGTCGATAATTCATGGTACATTTCTTCTCTCTAGATCATAGACTAGAGTATTATTTGATTATGGTGCATCAAATTCTTTTATTGCTACATCATGCCTATGAGACTTAAGCTTAGAGACCGAGACTTTGAAGGAGCCCATGTATGTGAGCTCACTCCTAGGAGACAGAGTTTGTATTTACAAGATATGTTGGGGTTGTGAGTTAGAGATCGAAAGGACCCAGCTCACCGTTGACCTTATGGTCATCGAGATGACAGAGTTCGATGTCATACTCGAGATGGATTGGTTGGCGGCACATAAGGTTGTCATTGATTGCGAATGCAAGAAGGTTACGACCTACACTTCAGATGGGGTTTGTCTCAAGTTTCAGGGGGAGAAGCACAATGCTTTACCATAGACCATATATGACTTCTGATGGCACGAACAATTGATAGGTTAACTTGCTAGCCTTACACTGGAGGACGAGGTGAGACAAGAGTTGGGTTTGACTCAAGTCGTGTGCGACTATGCGAATTTCTTCTTAGATGAGTTATTGGGGTTGCCACCAACATTGAGATGTAGATTTCACCATAGAGTTACAGTCCGGTGCATCCCCTATTTCTATAACACCGCATATGATGACACTAGCGGAGTTGTATGAGCTTAAAGTCCAATTACAAGAACTATTGGATAAATGCTTTATTAGGTCGGGTACCTCACCTTGGGGTGTTCCCGTGCTATTTGCCAAGAAGAAGGATAAGATGCTTAGGCTCTACATTGACTATCAGCAATTGAACAGGGTCACTATCAAGAACAAGTACCCACTATCAAGGATCGATGATCTTTTTGATCAGCTAAGAAGGGCACAAGTCTACCCCAAGATAGATTTGCACATGAGGTACCATCAGTTAAGGATTAGGGATGCCGACATTCCAAAGATGACATTTCGAACGCGTTTGGCCATTTCGAGTTTATGGTGATGTCATTCGGATTGATGAATGCCTGTCGACATTCATGGATACCTAAATCAGTTTGTTGTGGTCTTTATTGATGACATACTGATCTACTCCAAGTTTGAGAAGGAGCATGAGGGTCACTTGAGGGTTGTTCTACAGACCTTGAGAGACCATCGGTTGTACGCCAAGTTTAGCAAGTGCAAATTTTGGCTGACGAATGTGAAATTTCTAGGACACATGGTGTCAGCTTCGGGTGTGT